CATCTGAAACAGAATTCTGAGTTTTCTGAATTTTAAAATTATTTCTAAGCAGGTAGAAGGTTCTCAGTGTTGGACATGCCACACTTCTGGATTCTTGAAATAAAAGTTAACAACAGTTTCTTTTATTCTTTAAAAAAATTAGGATGTTATTCAGAGAGCATACAATACTGTAGTCAAAGTACAGGATGCAGGAGTTGAAAATACATTCATGGAGTTCTGTATCCATCATCATAGTCGATTTTGAAATATATCACCTCAGAAATTGCATTCTTTAGCTATGTTCCTACTATTTCTTCATTTCTTCTACTCTCCACCATAAGTATTGGTTAGTATATTTTGTCTCCATAGAGTTTCATTTGTCAGACCTTTAAATGGATGGAATGACACATGGACTTTTGTGACTGGTTGCTTTCACAATACTTTCAAAGTTCATCAAGGTGTAGCATGTGTAGCTACTTCTCTACTGTTTTTGGCTGAATGTACCTTGTACTCATTAAGACATTTGGGAAGTTCCCACTTTGGGGGCTATTCCAACTAATGCTATTATGAACATTTATAAACATGGTTTTGTGTCTTACTTCTTGTAGGAATAGAATTACTGGTTATGCAATGGTTTTATGCTTGATAGAGCAATGGCCAGAATGTTTTCCAAAGTAGCTGCAAGATTTTATATTCTCATCAAAAGTATATTCAGATTCTAGTATTTCAACCCAAGACTTGCAGTGTCACTAAATTATTAATTGGCTCCATCATACTGGATTGCTATGATTTTGATTTGTATTTCACTGATGAATCTTTACATGTGTTTATTAACCATGGACACACAGTCCTTTGAAAAAAAGTTATTCACATATTTGTTCACTTTTATTTGATTGACATCTTTTTCTAATTGAATTGCAAGAGATCTATACATTCTAGATGTAAAAGTTTTCTTGTATTTAGATTCTTGTTGTTCAAGTTTCCCAATTCTATAATTTGAATTTAACTTCAGTGAAGATTCATGATGCAGAGGGCAGGTAATCAGAGGTACGATGTATGTTTATCATGTATGATGCTTTGAGTTTGTTCTCTAGCACATTTTCTCCTCTTCACAAAGTATTTATGATATTCTAGTGAATTGAATGTCTTTGTTAATGGGTTTAAGATTTTTGTTTGTTTGTTTTTTGGTCGGTCATGGGAGTTGAACTCTGCCCCTGCGCTCTTCAGCTCAAGGCGAGCGCTCTACCACTTGAACCTCAGCACCACTTCCAGGTTTAAGATGTTTTTAAACTATCTTAAATTCAACATTAAGTCAACAAGGCTTAAATTTCTACTATAAATACACACACGCACACGCACACACACACACAAAATCTTCCTTTGGTCACAGGTGGTGTTTATAGAGTGAATACTTTCCCCCAAGCAGTCAATCTGTGGTAGATGCATCACTCATGGGATTCTTATGGAATGGAATATTGTCCACTCAAAGATGTCCCCAAATCTATATGTTAAACTATGTTTCAAAAGAATCTTTATATTCTTGACCATTAAAGAATTTGTGAAAGGAAAACCTTCTTGTGTTATCTAGGTGGAACAGGACCCTTCCAGGTTACTCTCAGGAGATGTAACTATTAAAAAATAACCAGAGAAATTGATGGGAAGGGTTAGGTCAGGGGGATGGGGGAGAATAATGAAAAGGGGGAATATCAATCAAGGTGAAATGTACTTGTAAACTGAATTGGAACTTTTTTGTATAACTACTTAAAGATAATAAAAACATAATTTACAAATGACCAGAGAAGCCATGTTGCTGGCTTTAAAGTTGGATAAAGGGGCCACAAGGCAGGTAAGATTGACAGCATCTAGAAGATGGAAAACAGAAAAACAAAAACATGAGTTCTCTAGAGCTACCAAAATATAACACATCCCTTTTGCTGATACTTTATTTTAACTCAGTCTCTTACCAAACTGAACTATATAACTAAAGAACATATGTATTTATTGTTTAAGCTACTAAGCTTGTGACGCTTTGGTTAGCAATAGAAAAGAGAAAACCAAGAAATAACAAAAGCATGAATTTGCAGTTGGCAAAAAGTCACTGACTTTTAAAGAATATTGTTATGTATAGCAACTGCTAAGAAATATCTCATTCTTCTCTGATTAGTCATTTTTTCAGAATAAACTCATTGTCTCCCTTACATTTTCCAGTATAATTTTTAAGAGAGTTGCCAAAGACATATGCTTATTCTTATAGAAAATAAATGGATCCCAACAGTTTTTTCCTATTGAATTCCTAGATACCTAACTTACTTAACTAAAATTCCTCTGCAACATTCTCTGTACCTTTCTAAATTTTTTTCAGTTACAACTAGCACTAGAATAGCAATAGCTCCCAAACACATATACTGAAATAACTATACTACATTAATGTTAACAAGAATGTGAAAATTTACATACATACACATAATGTCTACAGAAAAAGCCTAGCAGATGCAAGAACTGAAACCATAGGAAGGCTCTACTGCCTATTCAGGGCACCCATTTATGCAATAACGCATGTGTCATGCTAAAACCATACAGGAGAATAATTATGCTGATTTTCATGAAGATTAATTGGAGTGTATAAACCATCTTCCTAGACCATTGCTACTGTAGCACATTGAGATTATCTTTTAAAGTTGTATGGTCACTTGTATAAAAATATATAGAAACGATTGACTAAAGGTTACGTTTTGACAGGGAGATTTTATTCATGGTTTATGAGTAGGACTAATAGATGAATTTAGTTCTTTAGGAAAACAATGCTACCAATGAATGCCTGCCAATGAAGTATATTGTTTAAGAAGTGAGGCATTGGGGCTGGGAAGGTGGCTCAGTGGTACAGTGCTTGCCTTGCATGCCTGAGGCCCTGGGTTCGATTCCTCAGCACCACATAAGCAAAAAGAAAGAAAAGTCAGAAGTGGCGCTGTGGCTCAAGTGGTAGAGCGCTAGCCTTGAGCTGAAGAGCTGAGGGACAGCGCCCAGGCCCAGAATTCAGGCCCCACGACCAGACCCCCCCCAAAAAAAAGTGAGGCATTATTAAAGTAGACTTCAATTGTTTTTCAAATTTTTCCTTTTATTTTTTGGAAGCGTAAGCAAGATATTTAACCTTCATAAGTTTTCTTATATGTAAAGGAAATAATATGCTAACCTCCATAGGTTAGGAAATAAGAGTATCAAAAGCTCAAACTGTACACTTAAGCTCTGTACAGTTTAATACAGATAGATAGACAAGTGGATAGATTTAATTCTAAAATTTACCTTTAAATTGCTCAGCTACTTGGCAGAGGAAGACCCAGAGTATTGAGGTTTAGGTTGAGCTCATGATGAAGGTAATAGATTCCATTTCAATAAATAATCTGGTATGATGATGTGTGCCTCTGGTTCTAGATAAGTGAAAAGTATAGACAGAATCCTGATCTGAGACTAGCCTGGGCAAAAATGGAAGATGCTTCCTGAAAAATAACTGAAGAAAATAAGGACACAGGTGTGACTCAAGTGGTAGAGTATGCCTAAGAAGCTCAAGGTCCTAAATTCCAAGCCCAGTGCCAACAAAAAAACCAAATCAAAACAAAAATTGGATTCCACTGAAGGTAGTATAAAAACTAATGTGAGTGGTGGCTTACATGAGAAAAAATGTTCCATTAATTTTTATCAGGTACTAATAACTCAAACTTGTAATCCTACCTATTCATGAGGCTGAGATCTGAGGATTGAGATTTGAGGTTTGAAGCCAGCCCTGGCAGGAAAGTCATGAGGCTCTTATCTCCAATGAATCAGCAAAAAAGAACCCAGAAGTGGAGTTGTGGCTCAAGCAGTAGAGCAATAGCCCTGAGCAAAAAAGGTCAAGCCCCAGGACCAGCACAAAAACAAGTTCATTTCTTGAGGAAAAAAAAGTTCAGAAGTAGGCAATCTAGTGATGACAATGTGACTCCAGGGTCACCAGGGAGGTTGTTTTTTTATTCTATGCTGCTTGTCTTGGTTCCTTGTTTCTACCATTAAAAGTCCAACTATACAAAGGAGGGAGTAACAATGTTCAACAAGAAATGTACTCATTATCTTACTCATGTAACTGTAACCCTCCTGTACAGCATCTTTACAATAAAATAAACATTTTAAAGTCCAACTATAGATGACTTTTATGTGCCTTCTTTCAACTCAGGTGTTATTCCTAGATGCATCAATCACATAATTTTTATAGAATGGAACAGAGATGCTAACGGAGGCAAGGAAGGAATTCCTTAACAGATGAAGCATCTCCCTTTACACAATCTTCTTGGAGAGTGAAGGGATAGCTCAGTGATAGCATGCTTGCCTAACATGCATGAAGCCCACTGTTGATTCTGAGCAGAGTGTGTGACATATTTACATGTGCACACATGGGATTCTGGAAGATACTTGCAACATTGGTACATACTTTTCACAGACTATATTGTCATATATGTAGTTCTGCCAAAAAGACTGAAAACTTATCCTTTTGACTATGCACAGTACTTAAAATTTAGGATCTGATACTATAAGAAGAAAAAGGAACATTAGCTACTGCAGTTTCTCCATGTTTCTCAAACTGGGGGAAAAGACAGTTTCACTACAATGCTCCTTCATCTTACTATGTAAATATGGTGCAAGTTCCTGCCTTCTTAACATGGATGAAGCTCAATGAAGCAGTTTGCAATTATTATATCCACTACTACTGATATGTGAATGAAAAAATAAGTGCAATTATAGGTCAGTTTAGAAGAAAACAGCATACAACAAGATTCTGTAACAAGAGCCAGACATTCTACTTATACCAGGTCTCTGCCATGCTAATTACACTTCAGTGTATGTGTGTGTCACTGCTCTTTATTTACCCAAAGGACTGACAATTAATATGAGAATACATAAGGAAATAAAATTGATATATAAAATGAGTTGCCATCTTTATTCCCTGTGCACAAACCAGAGCTGTTCCAGAACTAGGATTTACATTATACTTGCTTTCATCAGGTTTTGAAAGAAGAAATTTAGAAATGTTCACCTTATATCACCCAGAAAAGATGACATAAGCAAAAGATGACATTTAAGCATGCAGACATACTTAAAGTACTTTGAAACTTCATAATAGGCAGAATAGGAAAACAACTTTAAACTTAACACAAAAATGAAATATTGACTGAGAAAAACAACTATTTTAATTGAATGTCAAAAGCTAGGTCATTTCTACAGTTGCCATTTTCTCTCATTTATGGGCCAAGGAAATGCCTATGCAAATTAGGTAAAATTGGTTTCAGAATCTTGAACTCATTCCCATTACTGGATATTGAACCCCAAACTATTGCGGAAGCTAGGCATACCCTCCAGTTCATTCCCAGGGACCTGCGGGGATAGGTTTGGAAACACTGGCTTCAGGAATTTGAACTCATTGGTTCCAGTCCCTCCCTGCAGACACACCTCATACTGGTAGCTGTGGGCCAGGGTCCCCGTGCCACTCACGTCCAGCAGGTGTCCAGGCAAGGGGCCATCGGGCAGCGCGCAGCCGGCCAGCGAGCGCGCCCTGCTCCTCCTGCACAGCCTGACGGCCACGAAGAGCAGCAGAGACAAGAGGAAGAGAGAAGACACGGCCGCCAGCGCGATGACCAAGTAGGCAGTGAGGCGGTCGGGCTGCGCGCGCTCGGGCGCCGCCGCGTCGGGCAGCGGCAGGTAGGGCTGCGAGAAGCCATCCACCAGCAGCACGTGCAGCGTGACGCTGGCCGAGCGCGGCGGCTCGCCATTGTCCTTGACCAGCAGCAGCAGCCTGTGCTTGGGCGCGTCGCGCTCGCTCAGCAGCCTGGCGGTGCGCACCTCGCCATTGTGCGGCCACACGCTGAACAGCCCGGGCTCCGTGGCCTTGAGCAGCTGGAACGACAGCCAGGCGTTCTGGCCCGAGTCGCGGTCCACCGCCACCACCTTGCTCACCAGGTAGCCCGGCTCGGCCGCCCTGGGCAGCAGCTCGGTGCAGGGCGCAGACGCGTTCTGCAGCGGGTACAGCACGAAGGGCGAGTTGTCGTTGGCGTCCAGCACCTGCACGCGCACCAGCGCCTGGCTGCTGAGCGGGGGCGAGCCGCGGTCGGCGGCGCGCACGCGCACCTCGAACGCCTGCAGGGCCTCATAGTCCAGCGCCCTCAGGGCGAACAGCTGCCCGCTGTCCGCGTTGATGGACACCAGCGCCGCCGCCGCGTCGGGGCCGGGCTGCGGGCCGGGCAGCAGCGAGTAGGTCAGCTGGGCGTTGCTGCCCGAGTCTCTGTCTGTGGCGCTGATGGTGCCAATGTGCAGGGCGGGGCTGTTGTTCTCGCGGACCCACAGGGTGTAGGAGGACTGCGTGAATTCGGGGGCGTTGTCGTTCACGTCGGACACCTGCAGGGTGAAGGTGTGCTGGGTTTGCAGCCTGGGGGTTCCCATATCTGAAGCAGTGATTGTTATGTTGTATTCAGCTGTGCCCTCTCTGTCCAGTGGTTTCTCTGTTACCAAAGTGTACATGTTTTCCACGGAAGACTTCAGGAAGAAGGGTAGGTGTTCTGGAATGGAGCAGCTTACTTTCCCGTTTTGTCCCGAATCTAGATCCGAAACACTGAAAAGTGCAACCATAGTCTCAGGGGAGTTCTCGGGGATGGAGCTGGTCATTGCAGACATGGTAACTTCTGGGGCATGGTCATTTACATCCAGGACTTGGATCTGTACAGTGCATTTTCCAGAAAAGCTTCCAGCATCCCTCGCCTCCACATTGACTTCATAGGACTGAATTGTCTCAAAATCAAGTTGTTCTTTCAATCGAATTTCTCCTAACAAGGGATGGATCTCAAATGTTCTGCTAATGTCATCTGAAGCTTGAAAAAGTGAATAAGAGATCTCTCCATTGACTCCTAAGTCTATGTCTGTAGCAGTGATAGTGATGATCAGGAAGCCTGTGGGACTATCCTCAGATACCTGAGCTCTGTAGACAGACTGCTCAAATGTAGGAGCATTATCATTGATATCCAGGACTTCAATGTGGACCTGAGCCGTACCAGACCGAGGTGGAGAGCCACCATCCTGTGCTGTGAGCGTGACCCTGACCTGGGCTTCCTCCTCTCGATCCAGTGCTTTGTCTAGCACCAGCTCAGGATATATCTTGCCATCGCTGCGTTTGCGAGTGAGGACATGGAAATAAGAGTTGGGACTGATTATGTAGTTGTTAATATTATTTTTACCCACATCCATGTCCTGAGCATTCTTTAGTGGAAATGTAGTGCCAGTAGGACTGCTTTCTGATACTTTTAGCACAATTTCTTTGTCCAGGAACACGGGAGAGTGGTCATTTATATCTAGTACTTGCAGCTCTGCTTGATAAATATTTAAGGGACTCTCTAACAGAACCTGAAAATGTAGCACACAGGGTTCTGTGTGCCCACACAGTTCCTCTCGGTCCAGTTTTTCATTGAGCCATAAATCCCCAGTTTCCTCATTGAGCTGCAGAAGTGGTTTATTCCCCTTGGAAATAACCCTAACCCCTCGTTTTGAGAGTTCCAGCTGCTCAAGTCCCAGGTCCTTTGCTAAATTGGTTACAAAGGAGATACCCTCCTTTTCCTCCACCACAGAATAATGCCTAGACTCCACCGCACCTGCCACAGATAACACCAATAGGAAAAAGAAAAAAAGGACTTGCCTTTGTCTGCATCGGAGCTTACTGCTGACCTCCATTGTTCTTGGTTGGTGCAGCGTCCCGAGAGGATGTTTCAGCTGAATTGTAAAGTCCCAGGTGTTTATCCCACTAAATCACAGAAATATTCTAGTCCTTTTCTGAGTCCTGTTTAGAGGGACCAGACCTCCTTCCTGCTGCATCCAAGCTTTCCGCGGACTTCTCGCCTCTGCTGGTAATGTTTGCCAGCAAATGGAGCCACCGCAAAGATCCGTTGTGTACCTTCTTATCCTGCAGCGCCACCATGTGTCCTCATAGGATCTTACATAGCGTGGGATGAAAATAAATGCAATATACTTAACACTGCTAAGTACCATTGGGCTATGAAAGGTTACAATACCCGTTGCTGGACTTCATTGGGCAAAGAAATGCCTGAAGGCCACACAAGACAAATGACATTAGTAGAGACTTTCAGAAATGCTAGTTGAATTTTGTGCAAAAGGTATATATTTAATTAACTGGCTGGCAGGAAAGTATTTATGCGGCAATTTTGTGTGTGTATGTGTGTGAGTGTGTGTAATTAGAAGATGTAAAAATATATATTCTTTCAGTGTCACAAACCATGAAATAGTAGGTTTGCAATGACTTGTTTATTTAACCTCTCTCTGCCTTAGTTTTCTCATTGTTGGGTGAAAATTCAGCTTCTGAAAATGTTGGATAGGTAATATATATATATATATATATATATATACATATATATATATATATATATATATAGCAAACTATTGATGGAGAATAATGGACATATTTTGTCAGGCTCTTGTGGGTTGCTTGCCTAACAGATGAGAAAAGTGTTGCAAAGAGGGATTAAACTTAGAAATAAACTTTATATGCAAATTTGATGTGACTAGTCAAATCTGCATGAATCCATTGCTGCAACTACAAAAACATACCACAATTTACATATTAAATGGATTCGTAAGTAGATCAGTCTCATTTTTAAAAGTATCATGTAGATGACTTCTTCAGGATACTGTAGAGTTTGTGTAAATAGAGACATTATCTGTATCAACAATGATGATTGTGTGTTTTTGGAGGATTTCCATAAAATAAACTTCTAAGAACCTTTCAGTTAAAGAATCTCAAATTCAATAAAAATCATATAAAACTATAGACTTTCATGTATTCATCACGTTTCAACAATAGTTTGCCATCCTTCTTTACCTATCCCACATTTTATAACTAGCAAATTAAATTTGTGCCTATAAATACTGTAACAAATATAAATCATCTTTAAATCCAAATTATCACACCATTTTCATGAAACAAATGAAGTTAATATTATTTCATATCACCTATATTCAGATTCTTTGAATCAATATTCACCACATTACATTTGTTTGGTAGATCACTTAAATTCTTCCAGTGTTAACCTTGTCCATTTCCAGTTTCCATACCATTTACTTGTTGGAGACACCAGGTAATTTTTCCCTGAGACTATAAAAACAGTTTAAGATGACCATGGTGATGTGTGTGTGTGTTTAGACTATACACCAGTAGAGAGATATACTTTTGGAGTTACTGTCATTAATTGTAGTATTTTTAGAACATATTCGAGACACACCACAGCTCTCAATAATTTTGAGTGAAGTGGTTCCGATGATTAAAACAAAGCTTCTCCTCAACCCCACAGAATTCCTAATTTTTGCTGATCATTTGTATTTCTCTTTAATATTACATATCATTATTACTTTTCTTAAAATTTCCTGATTCTACACTGTAATATGTTGAATTAAATTTTTAGTTAAAATAAGAAAATGTAGAAATAATGTAACTATGTAACTAATGTGACTTACAAATTACTGTGTGAAGAAATTAATAAACAAATGAATTAATCAAAATTAAGTAATAAGCTAGATGCCACTGGCTCATGTTTATAATTCTAGCTACTTGGGAGTTCATGATCTCAGTATCACAGTTCTAGGCCAGCCCAAGTAGGAAAGTCCCCAATGAAAAAACTGAAAATGAAGCCATGGCTCCAGTGGTAAAGTGCTAGCCCTGAGCAAAAAACGCTCAGGGACATGCCCAGGCCCTGAGTTCAAGGCCCAGGACTGCACAAAAATATGTAATATTCAGATTCAAGAACATTTGTTTTCTCAGTTAAATCAAAGTCATATCTTCATAAGGTGAAAACAAAGGTTAATCTTTCAACCTTTTTTAAAACTTGAGATTTGTTTAGACCAGACCTTTAGTATTAGTGGTTAGATAATTGAGACAATTTGTTGGTTTATAAGAAAATAAAAATATAGACCAATAAAAGCAAACTTTTTAAATACACAGAGACAGAAGAGCAATATAAACATAGCAGAAAGATTTCTTCTCCTTTATTAAGCAGACACTTGCTACAAGATATCTAATGACAAAAACTAGAATAGAATTGGTGCTAGGCCACAGATCCAGAGTCTTCTAGAAGTAGGAGAGAAGTCCAGCATTAAAACCAAAACAAACAAAAACAAGCAAATGTCTCATCATTTGCTACTTGGTGAGCTTAATTAAGTTTCATTTCTGAACTACTTCTTTTCATAAGGCATTTTCCCTCCTAAGATTTGAGTGTTCAAACGGTGATACACAGTAAGCATTAAAAGATCTTCAAAGAATGTCTACAATATATGCTTTCTAAATTTAGAGTAAGTACAACTTCACATCATCCTAATAAACCCAGAACATGAAAATGGCAAAAAGATTATGGACACTGGGAAGCAATTTAACATCTAAGACAATATTTCATTTAATAAATTGTAAGTTAAGCACAATCATTGGAGAAAACCATACATACAAATTGCATGCATTGTGAAAGGTTCATGGACAAAAGCTAATTTCTTCCTATGTCAAGAAATTTATACTTTTACTTTAAAAGTTTTGAATATGATACCAGATTACTTTGCTACTGGAACCTAGAATAATTTTTTTGTTTTGTTTTTGGGTTTTTTTTTTGTGGGGGGGGTCCGGTCGTGGGGCCTGAAAGCTGTCCCTCAGCTCTTCAGCTCAAGGCTAGTGCTCTACCACTTGAGCCATAATGACACTTCGGGATTAGTTTTTCTTTTTGCTTATGTGGTGCTGGGAAATCGAACCCAGGGCCTCAGGCATGCAAGGCAAACGGTCTACCACTGAGCCACCTTCCCAGGCCCCTAGAATATTTTTGAACAAGGAATATACCCACATAAAGAAGGACTTATTTTCCTTCTTTATGAGAGACCCAGTCGGGCACAGGTGGCTTGTAATCTGAGATTAGAGGATCGCGGTTGAAAGCCAGCCTACCCAGGAAAGTTGATGAGAAGCTTATCTCCTGTTAACCACCCGAAAATCTGAAGTGGCACTGTGGCTCAAGTGGTAGAGCTTCGTCTTGGACTGAAGAGCTCAGGGACAGAGTCCAAGACCCACGACCGAAAGGAAAGAAGGAAAGAAAGAGAGAGAAAGAAAAATTCTGAGGTGTGGGACTTTCTTTCATATCCTTTGGGATGCCTTGGGGTAAGAAGGTAGAGATAACTCATTTTAGGAAATTGAACTCATTGGGGGTTCCTGGGCCATCACCAAAATGTAGAGTACGTGCAAACTGGGAAAGCTAAATATTTATTTCAAATAGATATAAAATACGCTTGGAATATGAAATCATTCCCATTACTGAATATTGAACCCCAAACTATTCCGGAAGCTAGGCATACCCTCTAGTTCATTCCCAGGGACCTGGGGGGATAGGTTTGGAAACACTGGCTTCAGGAATTTGAACTCATTGGTGCCAGCTCCTTCCTGCAGACACACCTCATACTGGTAGCTGTGGGCCAGGGTCCCCGTGCCACTCACGTCCAGCAGGTGTCCAGGCAAGGGGCCATCGGGCAGCGCGCAGCCGGCCAGCGAGCGCGCCCTGCTCCTCCTGCACAGCCTGACGGCCACGAAGAGCAGCAGAGACAAGAGGAAGAGAGAAGACACGGCCGCCAGCGCGATGACCAAGTAGGCAGTGAGGCGGTCGGGCTGCGCGCGCTCGGGCGCCGCCGCGTCGGGCAGCGGCAGGTAGGGCTGCGAGAAGCCATCCACCAGCAGCACGTGCAGCGTGACGCTGGCCGAGCGCGGCGGCTCGCCATTGTCCTTGACCAGCAGCAGCAGCCTGTGCTTGGGCGCGTCGCGCTCGCTCAGCAGCCTGGCGGTGCGCACCTCGCCATTGTGCGGCCACACGCTGAACAGCCCGGGCTCCGTGGCCTTGAGCAGCTGGAACGACAGCCAGGCGTTCTGGCCCGAGTCGCGGTCCACCGCCACCACCTTGCTCACCAGGTAGCCCGGCTCGGCCGCCCTGGGCAGCAGCTCTGTGCAGGGCGCAGACGCGTTCTGCAGCGGGTACAGCACGAAGGGCGAGTTGTCGTTGGCGTCCAGCACCTGCACGCGCACCAGCGCCTGGCTGCTGAGCGGGGGCGAGCCGCGGTCGGCGGCGCGCACGCGCACCTCGAACGCCTGCAGGGCCTCATAGTCCAGCGCCCTCAGGGCGAACAGCTGCCCGCTGTCCGCGTTGATGGACACCAGCCCCGCCGCCGCGTCGGGGCCGGGCAGCAGCGAGTAGGTCAGCTGGGCGTTGCTGCCCGAGTCTCTGTCTGTGGCGCTGATGGTGCCAAGGTGCAGGGCGGGGCTGTTGTTCTCGCGGACCCACAGGGTGTAGGAGGACTGCGTGAATTCGGGGGCGTTGTCGTTCACGTCGGACACCTGCAGGGTGAAGGTGTGCTGGGTTTGCAGCCTGGGAGTCCCCAAGTCGGAGACGGTGATGGTGATATTGTATTCAGTATTACACTCTCGATCCAAAGGTCTCTCTGTTACTAGAGTGTAGAAATTGTCTATGGAGGGCTGTAGAGCAAAAGGGAGATCTTCCTGGGTAAAGCACACCATTTTCCCATTATTTCCTGAATCTTTATCTCTAACTCGGAAAACAGCAACTACAGTCTCTGGTGAGTTTTCTGCAATTGAGCTGCTATGTGATGTTATAAGAAGTTCTGGTGGATTATCATTCACATCGGTTACATCAACAACCACAGTACATTTTCCAGCCAGTCCTCCACCATCTTTTGCCTGAATTGTTAACGTGTAAACTTGAATTACTTCATAGTTCAACTCAGCTTTAAGATAAAGATTACCAGATGTTGAGTTGATTTGAAACGTTTTGAGAATTTTCTCAGTGGCATAAAAGAATGCGTAGTGGATTTCTCCATAACTTCCAGTATCGAAATCCCTCGCTGACACTGTGACAAGCAATGAACCAATGGGAGTGTCCTCTGGTATCTGTGCTTTGTAGATGGACTGCTCAAATTCAGGGACATTGTCGTTGATGTCTAGCACAAGGACATGTACCAGGGCCGTCCCAAATCTTGCTGGAGAGCCACCATCCCAGGCTGTGAGGGTTAAGGTGATCTCAGGTATTTTCTCACGGTCCAGCATTTGATCCAGTACCAGTTCAGGAACGATATTCCCCTCTCCTCCATCATGCACATTAATGTGGAAATAGGCATTAAGGCTGATGGTGTAGTTCCTCAGGCTGTTGATGCCAACATCTGAGTCCTGTGCACTTTCTAAGAGAAATGTCGCCCCTGGAGCGGCACTTTCTAATATTTTCAAGGAAAACTCTCTGTCCAGAAATACTGGAGAATGATCATTGATGTCTCTGACTTGTAGTTCAGCACGGTAAATCTGAAAGGGCTTTTCCAATAGCAGTTGGAAAGGCAGTACACAGGGCTCTGTGGAGCCGCACAGTTCTTCCCGATCCAGTTGCTCATTCAGAAGCAAATCACCAGTAAGAGGATTGAGCAGTAAGAACTGTATATTCTGGTCTGAAACAATTCTAGGTCCCCGGGCTGACAATTCCCCAGTCCCTAAACCCAAGTCGTTTGCCACATTGGCCAGAAAAGTGCCCCTCTCAGTTTCCTCTGCCACAGAATACCCCAACGGTTCCGCGCCAGCCCAAGACATTGCCAGAAAAACACAAAGAAATAGGACTTGCCTTGTCTGCACAGCGCCATCCACTCTGGCCTCCATTTGTCTGCCCAGGCTTTCACAAACACTTCAACTCGTCCACAAGCACTTCTCAGAAATGGCAGCAAATAAATCCTTAGAGATGAGCTGGATAATAGCTATTCTTGTCAGAAGAGAGTTTCCACTTTTCCCTAACGCCCAAACCGCGATTTCCCATCCTCTTTCTTTCTTGTCAGACTTCCTTTCTAAATGAGAATGCGTAATGTTGGTTGTGCAGGTGTATTTTTTCCCCTCTTTTTAGCCAACAGCGCCACCTTGCGTTTCATTATATTTCTAATCTCAAGAATAAGAAGATGATGGAATAAAAGTATTCATCAGGAGTGTTTTATTTGCTTTTGTTGCTCCATTCCATCTTTTTACTCAAATGGAAATGTTAGTAAGTACTTGATGATTGTTGTTACTCCTGTTATAATCTGAATTCGAAAATGTTTCCTTAAATCTAGGAGCATTAGATTAACTGGCTCTACCAAACTCTGAAAAATATAGGAAGAAAAGCTTCTGCTACATCAAAAATTGATAGAAATAATTGATATGAAAGAAAGTGAAGTCAAGCCAGGCGCCGGTCCGCCTATAATCCTAGCTACTCAACTCCGTTTTCTGCTCTTTTTGTGTGTGACTGGTGATGAGTCTTATGGATTTTCCTGCCTGGCTTGGCTTCAAACCATAATCCTGAGATCTGTTTCCTGAGTAGTTAGGATTACAGGTGTAATCTGAGGATCATGGTTCAAAGCCAGCGGGGGCAGGCAAGACCATGAAACTCTTATCTCCAATAAACGACTCAGAAAACTGGAAATGGCACTGTCGCTCAAGTAGTAGAACTCTAGCCTTGAGCTGAAGAGGTCAGGGACAGCTCCCAGGCCCAGAGTTCAAATCCCATGACTGACAAAAAGAGAGAGAGAGAGAGAGAGAGAGAGAGAGAGAGGAAAGAAAGAGAAAGAAAGAGAAGACAACAAGTATGGACTGATGGCCTTTTATTGATTTTAAACCATTTAACAATAATGATATTTATATGCCAGAATGACTATTTTTTCTGTTTCTTCTGAATTAAGCAATCATTCAATTTTCAAAGCCTTTTACTCATAATATTTTCTAGAATCTTTTATGGCTCACAGCCTTTGTGCTTCATCTTCCTTAACTATTATATGCAAATTATTGTCACATATATTTCTATGATCATGGTCTCCACAATCCAATGAGGACTCTAATATTAATACTAGCAAGTAGATATGTGGAAGAGCTACTACTATTAAATAAGGGAGTTTTATTATTTTATATTTTAAAGTTCTTTGAGAGTTTTCAAAATTATTCATTTACTCTTTAGTTTTTAAATTAAGTGCTTGGTATAAAGGAAACAATGATGATGTTTTGTTTCAATGTGAGGTAGATTTGATGTGTCAGGATGGTTTTAGTTTTCTATCCAGTATTGATTTGCATGTTTCACTTCTGCAGTTAATATATTTAACTATCATTCTGGCCTCATAGAATGGGTTCAGCTTTCCATCTAATTTTATGTAACTGGATTTTTAATATCATTTGTTTCTACATGCTTGGTTACAACTTACATTTTAAGCTGCTTGAGTGATAGTCTGTAGATAGTCTATAGATCTATGATACATAGTCACAGATAATTTTCCATTTTGTGTTTGGTTATAAATCTGTTCAGTTTCTTTTGTGTGTGTGCCTGTACTTGGGCTTGAATTCAGAGCCTAGGCATTTTCCCTGAGCCTTTGTGCTCAAGGCTGGTGTTCTACCACTTAAGCAACAGCTCCATTTCCAGTATTTTATGGCTAATTGAAGATAAAAGTCTCATGAACTTTCCTGTCAGGGTTGGCTTCAAACTGCAATCCTTAGATTGCCTCCTGAGTAGCTAAGATTACAGGTATAAGTCACTGGCTTCTAGCTGTTCAGTTTTTTACATTTTTTAAAATTGTTTCTGTAAAGGTGATTTGCAGAGGGTTTACAGTTACATAAGACAGTGTTCAGATTTTTAAAAAGCAACTTGTATTTTATTTTAAAACGTTCTTTTTTCTAGTTTTCAATTTTTGCATTGTGTTTTTATTGCATCCTTCACCTTTCCTTATATCCCTCTTCTTATTTGAAAGATATTTAAAAGTGAATCTTTTCAAAATAGCATGAATTTGGTTTTCAACCAAGTAGCATTAAGAGGTATATTATAAGTCACAATGGTTTTCTACATTATCCCTTCTCACTTTTCTTATTTCCTTTCCATACTATTTTATAAAACTCTGTTACTTACCTCTTTTGCTATTATTTTCTATGCTAATGTATCTTTTTATTGTGCTAGTCCTGGGGCTTGAACTCAGGGCCTGGGCACTATCTTTGAGCTTATTTTTGCTCAAGGATAGTGCTCTACCACTTGAGTCTCAACTCCATTTTCTACTCTTTTTGTGTGTGACAGGTGATGAGTCTCATGGATTTTCCTGCCTGGCTTGGCTTCAAACCATAATCCTGAGATCTGTTTCCTGAGTAGCTAGGATTACAGGTGTAAGCCACTGGCAACCATTTTTCTTATGTATCTTGATGAATTAATTTTTTATTTCATTGCCTATATGTTAAACTTATAGCCTTTTTGTGCCTTCTTTCATTTGCAATGTATCAGGAGCCTTGCTGTGTAGTAGTTAAATTTCTTATTTTCTGAAGTTAATAATCATCTGGTTTTTGTTATCTTGTTTCTTCTTATCTATGTCACCTATTCTTCCTTCAATTCCAGTTTTCTGTTAGTATAATCTTCCACATGGTGGGTATTTTCCTGTTTCTGAGCCATCAATTTTCTAAATTAGTTGTTATCCTGGACTTCCTTTTGGAGTTCTCTTTGTCTTTCATTCTGGTTAGCTTTCCTATCTAGAGATATTTCATATCTTCCTCTTTTCCATTTATTCTATTGCTTTAATTGGTCTTATCCTCCAACAGATTCATCTAATTGAAAAGATGATATAGTGTCAAGGAGCTCATTGATAACATCCCTCAAAATGCCAGTCTCTGAAGTCACAGACCTTCAAAGTGGACTACTAGTGGTTCACTATGTTTAAGATCTAGTTGCTATACTGGGAATATTCTTTAATATCATCTAGAGATTCATTTCATTTCTGTCCTGTTTTGTATCTTCTTTAGTATCTCATTTTGAAAGAGTCTTGTAATTTCCAGAAAAAAAGAATTACATTTTGTTGTAATCTTAAATCTATTAAAACACCTTCATTTTATCCTCAAATTTTGTTCTGTCAATGAGCTATCTAAACCAATGTATGCCAAAAATGCTACATCTAATCTTATTTGTTATCCTCCATGTAACCTATATTTTTATTTATTATTCTCGTGTTAGTCACTATTATAAACATTTTAAATACAGTCATGTGTTTTGATTAGGAATTATATGTCAGCCATTGTATTGGAGATTTAAGTCATTTTCTACAGGAAATAATTTACTCTAGCTCTTAGAAATTTCCTACAATCCACTGGTATTATCTTTCTTTTATTCTCTCTCCTTTTCTGGAAGTCCTTTAATTCAGATATTGGATTTCTCTTATGATTCTCTTTTTTCTCATCTTTTTCTCTTCTGTCTGCCATTTTAAGATACTTTTACAATATTTCTTGACTTTATTTCTAAGCCCTTGAGATTTTTATTTTATTCATATTTTGAATAGATCTTTCTGTAGCTTACTTCTTAAATGCAATAAGTCTTTTTCTGACAAAATTAATAATAGTTTCCTCCAGTATTATATTATTTTTTCTGAGAACTCTCCAAGTTAGTATTTTCTTACTTTGTTCAGAATTTTGTATTTCCTTCTGGAATTTTCTTTTTCTTTTTTCTTTTTCTTTTTTTGTCAGTCTGGGGCTTGAACTCTGGGCCTGAACGCTGTCCCTGTGCTCTTCAACTCAAGGTTAGCATGCTACCACTTGAGCCACAGCACCACTTCCAGTTTTCTGAGTGATTTATTGGAGATAAGAGTTTCACGGTCTTCCCTGCTCAGGCTGGCTTTGAACTGCAATCCTCAGATCTCAGCCTCATGAGCCACTGGCGCTTGGCTTGGAATTTTCTTTAACTATGTGTTTGTAATTCAACTTGGGAGAGTAAAGAGCTGAGTGACAGCTCTGAGCAGGTTGGCAGTGCTTGTTCACATCCTCATGCAAAGGTGAACTGCAGTGCTGTGGCTGGGAAAACCTAGTGTCAATGTGATCAGAATTTTCTCATCATCTACCCAGAAGGAAAATACATAGATTGAGAAAAATTGAATGAGGAAAGAAGAGGTTCATGGGGCTGGGAAGGTGGTTCAGTGGTAGAGCGCTTGCCTTGCACGCATGAGGCCCTGGGTTCGATTCCTCAGCACCACATAAGCAAAAAGAAAAAGCCAGAAGTGGCGCTGTGGCTCAAGTAGTAGAGCGCTAGCCTTGAGCTGAAGAGCTGAGGGACAGGGCCCAGGCCCAGAGGTCAGGCCCCATGACCGGACCCCCTCCCCAAAAAAGAAGAGGTTCATGCTAGCATAGATTAGATCATACTTTCATTTCAACCCTCCCCAGTTTCAATGGCTAATGCAATGAAGATTGATTTCTTTTTGTTGTTGGTGGTGTTGGTCATGGGACTTGAACTCTGGGCCTGAGCGCTGTCCCTCAGCTCTTCAGCTCAAAGGCAGCGCTCTACCACTTGAGCTACAGTGCCACTTCCAAAATTGATTTCTTTCTCACATTACACAGCCTATACGCTTGAGTACAACACAGCCCATACGCTTGAGTACAAGGAATCTTGTAAGGCTGTGTAATGTGAGAAAGAGGTATACCAGGAACACAGAATTTGAGTTTGAGTGAGAAAAAGTGGATTGTTAAGTTATACATCAGGACCCCAGAATTTGAGTTAATTTGAGTGAGAAAAAGTGTTTTAAGTTATACACATGTCAATTTACATATTTCAACTTTTACATAATTTACATTGAATATGATGACTCTATTTTCCCTGCCTTTTCTTATCTAATAGTCTACCCTTTCCCTCA